ATGTACCTTATTTAGGAATATAAGCGTTGCCCATAATTGTATATATGAGGCTCAAGGCAAATCAATAAACTCAGGGAAAATAATATTTCTTACATGGTATTAGAGCAACCCAGGTTTTTATTCCTTTAAACTTTATTCGTCATTTTCTTCCTCCCTGGGCAGCCATATCAATGGCAGACAATACAATTGGCCAAAACTACTCTTCTTCCTCTAAATCTCAAACCTACTCCTTCCTCCTCTCTTTTACTTCATCCGGCTCTCACCGTTTCTAATATCAATACCTTCATCAAGGTCACACTTGATAATGAAAAAGGCCAATATATTACCTGGTCAGAACTATTCAAAATACATGCCAAAGCATATAAAGTTCTAGACCAAATCATTCCTCCATCCAAGGAGGCAGCGAAATTGGATTCTTCCCCATCTCTTAAAGATACGGATCCCGAACTCTGGTCAAGAGTTGACGCCAATGGATTTACGGCACAATCTCTGAAGATCTTCTGCATACCATTATTGAACGAAATTCTACCGCTGAACTCGCGTGGAACAGGCTAGAGGAGATTTTTTCAAACAATAAAAATTCAAGGGCACTCTACCTGGAACAAGAGTTTTCTGCGGTTCGGATGAGAAGTTTCCAGATGACTCTTCCTACTGCCAGCATCTAAAAACACTAGCATAACAATTATCAAATGTTGGCGCTCCTGTATCAAACAACAGGTTAGTACTTCGACTTGTCTCCGGTTTAACTGATGCATGTGCTACCGTTGGAACACAAATTCGACACGACGACCCCATTCCCCTTTTTTTTACAAAGCCCCGATCCATGAATATCTTGGAGGAAACAACGATGGCGAAAAAGGCTGCTAACCCCTACGATCCCACTGCTCTTCACGCGTCTGCCGATGATCAATCTGCCAGAAATTATGGGGAAAAATCGAGGAGGTCGCGGTGGCAGAAACAACGGCTTTGTTTCACGCGGTCGGTGCAACTCTAACCGTGGTGGTAGCTCTGGTTCTCGAGGCGGCCACTCCACAAATCGCGGGCGACAGAAGAGGCGGTCGCCAATCTCCCGGCAGGGGCAGAGGAAATCGTGGTGGCCGACAAACACAATACCAGCCGCACAACACATTCTGCAGAACGCTAATTAGCAAAATTGGTCTTATCCACCCATGTGGAATGGGCCATGGCAACCTTGGGCTACTCCACCTTGTCCATATCCTACCACACCAGCCCAATGGCAAAGAAATCAACCACCACTAGCCTCACAATCAATACTTGGACCAAGACCATCCCAAGCTCACTTGGCATCAACAAATTTGGGCCAATCTTCGTATACACCAACTGATATTCAACAGGCTATGCCAATACTTTCTCAATTGCCCCTCCTGATGATCAATGGTACATGGATACAGGAGCTACATCTCACATGACTTCAAATGGAGGTAACCTTACATCTTATTCTAATATGAATAAAAATAAAATTATTATTGTTGGTAGTGGTGATACAATTCCAATTAGTGTTGTGGCAATACTTTTTGACCAATTCCTCATCCTCCCTTAAATTTAAATAATGTCTTGCATGTTCCAAAATTGATTAAAAATCTAGTCTCCGTAAGAAAATTCACTACTGATAATGATGTCACAGTTGAATTTGATCGTAACGGATTTTCTGTGAAGGATTTTTAGACAGGGATGGACTTAATGAGATGTGACAGCACATGAGACTTATATCCAATTACTACAAGGCCTTATTTTCACACATCAACACCCTCTAATTTTGCCGTGTTATCTCCCCAACTATGGCATAACCGACTAGGGCATCCGGGAGCTCTTATTTTAATTTCTTTACGCAAAAATAATACTATTATTTGCAATAAATTTAGGGGAATTTTTTTTTTTTTTTTTTTTTGTGATTCTTGCTCACTTGGGAAACAAGTTAAATTACCTTTTTATGACTCATTATCCTTTACTTCATTTCCTTTTGATATTGTGCACAGTGAACTATGGTCGTCACCTACCCTAAGTTCGGGTGGGCATCGTTATTATGTTTTTATTTCTTGATGATTTTACAAACTTTTTATGGACGTTTCCAATTGCTAACAAATCTCGGGTATATTCAATCTTTCTATCTTATCGTACTTATATCAAAACCCCATTTGAAAAAGAAATAAAATGTTTTCAATGTGATAATGGAACGGAATATGATAATAGGCCCTTTCACAAGCTTTGTAAATTAAATGGTATGAGTTTTCACTTTTCTTGTCCTCATACATCTTCTCAAAATGGAAAGGATGAAAGGAAAATTCAAACAATTAATAATATTACTCGAACTCTTCTTGCCCATGCCTCTCTACCTCCTTCATTCTGGCACCATGCACTACAAATGGCCACGTATTTACTCAACATTCTTCCCAATAAAAAGCTTGCTTATCAAACACCCACAAAAATTCTTTATCAAAAGGATCTCTCTATTCTCATCTTCGGATTTTTGGATGTTTATGCTATCCATTAATTCCATCCACCTCACGTAAAAAATTGCAAGCCAGATCATCACCTTGTGTTTTTTTGGGATATCCGACAAATCATAGAGGTTATAAATGTTACGACTTATCAAGTCGAAAAATAATCATTTCAAGGCATGTAACTTTTGATGAAAACACCTTTCCCTTTTCCAAATTACATGCCTACTAATGTCTCCACTTATGAGTTTTTGATGCAGGCCGGCCTATATCTTAACCCGTACTTATCTCACGGCCTAACTCCAACTCTTGGAGTCGAGGACCAAAATATATCACCTCTTCATTCTCCCATACAATCTCAGCAAAGTTCAGCGCATTTCCCTCTCATGAGATAACCCCACAACAATACACTTCTCCTACACCCGCAACACCATTAGGAAATAGATCATCACAGTCCAATCTTTCATCTCGGCCCACTGCATGCCTCGCCTCAACCCACACCTTCATCATCTCCAAACTCTCAGCCCACACCACCAACTCCACTAACCACCAATCAATCTACCCAAATAAGTCCACAAATAAATCACACTTCATTCTCCTCAAATGACCACAAGAGCGCAACATGGAATTTTTAAACCTAGAAAACTCTTCAATCTTCACACCACTACTACGACCTCCATATCTCCCCTACCTATGAACCCAATACATGCTTTAAAAGACATAATTGGAACATTTCTATGAAGGATGAATACGATGCTTTAATTAAAAATAAGATGTGGGACTTAGTGCCCCGTCCATCCAATGCTAATATTATTCGAAGTTTGTGGATTTTCAGGCATAAAAAGAAATTTGATGGTTAATCTGAGCGGCACAAAGCCCGCTTGTAGGAGATGGTGCAGGACAACAGACTGGCATAGACTGTGGTGAAACTTTTAGTCTGGTGGTGAAATCGACAACCATTCGTACAGTACTTAGCATTGCAATATCTACCACAAGAATCCTTAGTTAGAGTGGGATTTCAACTCAGCACCTTTTGAGTGAGATTTTGAGAAGAGTTGCTCTTTGGAGAGCACAGTACGATGAAAGTTGTAAACTGTGTTTGGGGGGGGGGGGGGGGGGGGGGAATTATTGTCCATCGTTGGCCTCTATGGTAGAATCAGTCGGGGACCTGAGAGGCTGTGGTTTACCCTGCGGCGGATGTCAGCGGTTTCGAGTCCGCTTATCTCCAACTCCTGAACTGAGGCGATCCAAAGCTTTATGATAGGACCCAATTTTTTCCGATTCGGCGTTTCGATCTATGGTTTCTCATTCATGGACGTTGATAAGATCCATCCATTTAGCAGGCACCTTAGGATGGCATAGCCTTAAAAGTGAAGGGCGAGGTTCAAATGAGGAAAGGCTTACGGTGGATACCTAGGCACCCAGAGATGAAGAAGGGCATAGTAATCGACGAAATGCTTCGGGGAGTTGAAAATAAGCATAGATCTGGAGATTCCCAAATAGGGCAACCTTTCGAACTGCTGCTGAATCCATGGGCAGTCAAGAGACAACCTGGCGAACTGAAACATCTTAGTAGCCAGAGGAAAAGAAAGCAAAATATGAATACGCAACACAATTAAATATGAATATGCAACACAATTAATAATCATAAAAATAATATGTTGGACTTTAAACTATAAGCTACCATGTATTAAAAAAATAGATACAAAATGATAGAAACTTAAAACCATAATCTACATGTATTTTTTTTCAACATTTAACACTACAAAATGTGAATATGCAACACAATTAATAAGAGAAATATAGATTATGGTTACAAGGTGCACAATGGATTGCTGAAATCTACCACCTGTGATGCTATTGAGAAATATAGATCACTCATTAGGACAGTGTAATGGTTACAAGGTTGGTTGATCATGTTTTGGAAGCTCAGATTATGTGTGAAACGAATGCAGGAACAAAGGTTTTATTTCCTCTAATGTCGTTAACACCTTCTGATTCAAGATTGCCTTTCAAGTTCCAAAGAAAACAATTTTCTTTTATGCTATCATATGTCATGATAATAAATAAAAGTCAATGGCAAACACTATCACACGTGGGATTATTTTTTAGAAGGCCGGTCTTTAATCATGGTCAAATTTACGTAGAAGTCAAGAGTAAGTAAATTTAGGAGATTAAAAATTTTGATATGTGGGGATATTGTACCATCTGTAAGTACGATTAAAAATGTCGTATAGAAAGAAGTTTTCAATAATGGATAATCCAATTGCATCAATAATTTCTAATTAGTAATTAGAAAAAAAAAATGAAAAAATAAGAACATAGTCTGGGGGCGGATGTAGCCAAGTGGATTAAGGCGGTGGATTGTGAATCCACTATGCGCGGGTTCAATTCCCGTCGTTCACCCATCGCATATATATGAAAAAAAAAAACATAGATAGATATGTTACGATATGGATCTTAATTGTGTTATGTGACATCAATATTATTGGCCGACACGGGTCATTGAATTTTTTTCTACTAGCTTGATTGGGGGAGATTCTACGAGTTTTTGCGATCTTGCCCACATGGGTCATTGAATTTTTGTCTACTACCTTGATTGGGGGAGATTCTACGAGTGTCTGCCATCTCCAAAAGCTCCAACTCGTTATCCCTTAGAACCCTGCCAAACAAAGAAGAAAAAAAAGTCAGTCACATACTCACATATAGGAGCATCATCTGTCCAAACTCCATTCACTTTAATCCGGTTCCTATTTCTTTTGATAATAGCGGAGTTGTGGTAAAATCGGGTGTTACAATCACCCACTCAAATCCACTTACATAATGATCATTTTTAATATACTAAAAGTTCATTTTTAATACATTGAATGTTAATTTATTGTGTTGAAGGTCGTTCACTATTTGGTATAATATTTAAAAATGAACTTGCATATTAAAAACAAACATTATACTAAAAATGAACGTTTATCTATGGTCCACATAATCCACATTGCAATGTGCATCATGAAGTAAAACTACGTCGTATCATTTCATTTGCATATACGTTATAGTATGAGTTCTATTGTTTAGTTTCATTTTTTGCACGTTCAAGTATCATTTTAATTACACTCCAAGATCATTTAAATTTTAATTACATTATCATTTGATAATATATGTTATTACACTTATAACTTTGTTTATTAGTATCATTTTTCACATGCACTAAGGTGAAAAGGCCGCCGGAAATTAAAGGTTTGAAAGAAGAGAGGAAGATAGAGAAAGCAAAGGGCTGGGACTCCATTTGGGAGAACTAGAGTTGGTGACACAAACTCCTTCTCCCAACAACAATAATCATGAGTATACATCTATATTTTCCAGTATTCCACCCACTCATGATTGCATTAATAATCTATCATAGGAGGAAAGAAATCACAATTACCATTTCATAAGAAACAAAATTTAACAATTGTACGTATAATTTTGAGATGTTTCAAACCTGCAAACCTCTACCTTCCTCCCACTCTTCAATTTCTTTAATTTATTAATTTATGTAAAGAATTTAAGAACTGTGCTCATAAGTTCTTATAGAAAATGTTGTACTGTATATATTATTATATGGTACTCTGTACAAGATTACAAAAATAAAAAAAAATCAATGCCCATCGTCTTCTATTCTATAGGTTGGATTCCCCACTCTAAGGGACCCCCCACCCTCACACCGTAGTTCGTCTGCACTATAAAAAGATACAAATCACGATAATTCAATGACTCAATCAGCATGTAAGGCTAATTGCACCCAAATACTGTCAACACTGAACAAGCGAGCCCGTATCTTCTATTCTGTTCTATTTAATATGCACCCACAATCCCTTGCTGGGTACGCCACGGTGCACAACAAAGATCAAGTAATAGCCTGGTGGTGCAAGCTTGCCAGAGGACGGCGCCACGGCGGAGATGGTATCCTTGGCCACAGAGGTGAGTCCCAAAATCAGCATCCTTTGGCCCTCAGAGTACCCGTGAGTGGTGAAAGGCGGCGGATACATGGTAACCTTAATACTAGACATGTCCGCCGCATCATCTAGCTTGAAATGGATATTGAAATTCTTTCCATAAACCAATTCCGTTTGGGAAAGCTTCTCCACGATCTGCGGCCGAAACTTTTGCAGTGCGGGGGCTAAGTACGGCGGCGAGAATTTCTCGACGCGCATGTCGGTTGGGTATTTGGCTTTCATATCGTAGGAATCGTGGGTGTTACTTCCCGCTACTAAGATCTTAGCGTCGGGCAAAACCGCAGAAGTGGAATGGTACATTCTGGCAATTTTTGTTGGTGTCAACTCAGTAAACCTTTCCCCTTTCGGTTTATCCGGGCTGTAAAGCACCGGAGTGAAATTTGGTTCCTCCGCCCCGTCCCAACCAGAGGTCCCGGTTTTCGCGCCATTAATTATGAGGACATTCCCATCGGGGAGAATCAACATATCTCCCATAACCCTCCCCGACGGCATCTCCTCAATTTCCCACTTGGCCCCTTCCTGATTCGCAACAATCCTGCCGCAATCCTTTAACGCCGGCGGAAATTGCCTCGGCGGATGCTCCGTGACCTTGAAGGCTTCGTGTGTATTGCCGCCGCAAACCAAAACCTCCGCCTTCACAAAATCATTCGCTTTGGTGAGTTTGAGAGGAAGAAGCGCGGATTGCCCCGAGGCCGGGTAGTTCGGGACCCCCCTGGCAGCTTAGGAAGCTCCCGAATCGTCTTTCGGGTTCTAGGGTTGAAAATAATGGAGCGATCGTTGGCGAAGAGGAAGACATTGCCGTCGGGGAGGAGGTACACAAATGGATACAAATTATTCTCCAGAAAGCCGTCGGTGGTTTCCTCGAGCAGCCGAAGCGGAAATTGTTTGTTCGGGAATTTAAGCTGATCTGGCGGGACAATTTCATAGTTGTGAGATTTTCTTCCTCCCACCACGATAAAATCACCATTTTCCAAGACTTGTTGAGAAGCATACCTGCCAGTTCAGTTCAACGTAGTAAATTAAATTAAATTAAATTAAATTAATTATTATAAGATCAGAATTTGAAAATAATAATGCTTACCATCTGTTTGCAGAAAGTCCAACATCTTCCTTGAAATCGCATAAATCGCAGGGTTCCAGGATTCTAATTCCTCGAAAACCTTTGTCGTAGCCTCCGGTGCTTATCAATTTTCCGGTGCTCGACAGCCCTCCGACGAGCACCATGTATTCAGGCTCAACTAAACATACATGCATAAAAACAATATAATTAATTAATTAATGAAATAAATTGTACCCAGGCCAGGCCAGTATTATATATATACCTTGAGTGTCTTGACAACTTTAGCGGTGTCGAGATCATAGGTAACGCCATGAGCCCAGCAGTCTTCACGGCCCTTATCATCTTTTCTGCACCACTTAGGATTCTGCATCAGTGCGGAGCGACCAAGATTAAT